AGCACCCTCTTGTGGATTTTGAAGACCTTCACAGTTTGAAAAGACATTAAATATCTCAGTTGTGGGCATAAGAAACTGTCAGGGGTGGTAATAGTGTAGATAGAGCACTCTGAAGAAACGATATTTTAAATAGATCACAAATCATTCAATTTAAACACTCCTAAGTATGCCCAAATGCTATTTATCTTCATGGGCCTCCAACTCATAAAAAAACATGGACATTCATAGCTTTAAGTATGCATTTTAAGGCCCCAAATACAAGGGGCCTTTCTCAAAATGTACAGAGTCTGATTTTTTTTCCCAAGAATTAAATTTGACTGAACTGAAGCTGATTTTCACCAGAACACTCTAATGTTTTTTTCTTCTATAAGGAATGTTTATTCACCAACTTTCTACTCTCTGTGTTGGCATTGGAATTGTTTTAAAAGTTCAATTTATTTTCTAAAACAATGGGAAAGTTTATTGCTTAAAAAATCTGGCCTCTTATGAATGACTGAAAATCAAAGGGTGTAATGGAAATAGCCAGATAACCTTGACCAAGAGTTAACTCGAGTTACTTTGGAGAAAAGGACAAATAATAATTGGTTTGATGCTCATGTTTCTAATGTTCCTGTACATAGTGATGAGGTTAGGGGGAAAATATTTTAGCTTATTTTGAATTGGATGCCTGTCACTGCCGTGCACTGCAGTGAAGGGTACGAGACCTTTAGAGGCCTGTCAGGCGGGTACTTGTGACGCTTGGAGTGGAATTAGGCACAGGACGCTTATCGGTTGCAAAGCAAGATTATTTACTCACGCCGTCAAGGTGGTGAAAGAAGGAGGCCAGATATACTTAGTTAGTTACAGCTTAGAGTTCGCTTGGTCGGTCTGCAGACATATATACGGGGGGGGGGGTCGGCGGGTTCAGGCTTATCGGTCGTGCGGGTCGAGGGTACGCCAGGGAGGTTGCGGCGGGAAGACGCTGACAACTGATCGAATTGTCAGATTTACTCCAAGGTGCGGACAGAGTTGTCTTCCCCTTTGACGGAAATGCAGCAGGGTTTTGTTTGTATGATAGCCAATTGTTTTTCGCCACGTCATAAATTTAATTAGAATCGCCAATTATCTCTAGGGATTTGTAGCAGGGATACCCCTTTTTGCCCTGACCAATCATAAATCATGGGCTAAGTTTCGTTTCTTTAGAAGTTTCATTTCTTGGTTGTGACGCAGCCATAAATCTCTTTAGTTAGCATGCACAGCAAAAAAAAACCTGTTACCAACAAGGATTTTTCTTTAACCCTTAGTTGGCTTCAGTGTGGACTAAAATGCTTTAGATGGCATCTTTTGCCAGTGACATGGGCACTACCACAATTGGGTTGTGACAATGCCCAGTATTTTTTAGTACTCTTCCCTGCCTTGTAGCAGCATAGTCTACAAATAGATTCTGTATAAGAAGTATATGCAGGTTTGATGTGTTTGGACTGAATGTGATCTGTGACTGAGTAAGCATGAAGTAAGGCGACAAAGCAGGAAATTTTTACCTTATAAAAGGCAACTGGCATAATATATTGATTAGTATGAGAGACCATAGAAGAAATTCAGACTATAAGTATAATGATTAACCGACTACAGGTAAATTCTAGTGTTCCTGAAAGGTAAGCTAGAACTGCAGGGTTCTTTGCACAAGAGGATTAATAATTTCTCTTTTTCCATACAGTCGGGGTACTGAGAATAGGCTAGTGCTTCGACGGCAGACCATCCTCCGGGAGAAGGGCAGAAGGCTGGCCAATCGAGGGCCAGCATACATGTTTAATGACCGGTCAACAAGTCTGTCACTTGAGGAGGAGCGCTTTCTGGATGCGGCAGAATACGGTAATATTCCTGTGATTCGTAGAATGCTGGAAGAGTGCACTTCACTCAATGTGAACTGTGTGGACTTCATGGGGCAGAATGCTTTGCAGCTAGCAGTTGCCAGTGAGCATCTGGAGATCACAGAACTTCTGCTGAAGAAGGAGAACCTGTCAAGGGTTGGGGATGCCTTACTCTTGGCTATTAGTAAGGGGTATGTTCGGATAGTTGAAGCCATCTTAAACCACCCTGCATTCGCTGAAGGCAAGAGGTTGGCACTAAGTCCCAGCCAGTCAGAGCTCCAGCATGATGATTTCTATGCATATGATGAAGATGGAACTCGGTTCTCCCATGATGTTACTCCAATCATTCTAGCTGCCCATTGCCAGGAATATGAAATTGTTCACACCCTCTTGAGGAAAGGGGCTCGCATTGAAAGGCCACATGACTATTTCTGCAAATGCAATGAGTGCAATGAGAAGCAAAAACATGACTCTTTCAGCCATTCTAGGTCCAGAATCAATGCTTACAAAGGTCTGGCAAGCCCTGCTTACCTGTCGTTGTCCAGTGAAGACCCAGTAATGACTGCCTTAGAACTCAGCAATGAACTTGCTGTGCTTGCAAACATTGAAAAAGAGTTCAAGGTGAGTGAAACTGGTTAAATGTTCTCCTGCTACTACCTGTATGAGGATTGTCAGGAAAATCAGTACAACATGTTTGATAAGTGCAGGTGGGGCATAGCTTTCAAAAAGGCATTGCCCAAACCCTTGTTGGCAGTTGCCAAATGCCAAAAGGGACCTAGAGATTCTGCTACCTTGCTGGCCTTAGAAAGGGACTTTCTGAAACTAGGTCATCATCACACAATTAGCAGGTAATCTGGAGAAACTTGTACCTGTCCTGTGTATAGAATATTTTTATTGCTGGAAGTCCCCTTACTGCCCTGTGTGGGTTACCAACATTGCTGCTTGTAGTGTGTGGAGGGGATGGCATTGAACTGCTACTTCTCTTCCTACAGAGGTGGGTAGAGAGTGGTCAGTCAGAGGAGTGGAATGGACAGCGCTATGGCTTCCCCTGACTAACAGGGTAAATAGGCACCTTTATAGACTAACTAAATAAGATATGTATAGAGAGAGAGCACAAACCTCCACAAACCTAAGTTCACTTGATCAGATGCAGTGAAAGGGCATTCAGAAAACAGAGTAAAAGAAAGGAGAGAAATTTTAGAATACAAAAAACAAGGGAGTGGGGGAGGGTGCAGTGCTAGGAGAGGAAAGCAAATAAGCGGTAAACCCATTGGAACAAAAGGGGTCACAAAAGCTAATCCAGGTAATGAAATAAGAACCCATAGTCCCTGTTCAAACCATACTTAACACCGTCTGGTTTGTAGATGATTGCTTGTTCTTGTATTTCCTGTTTAAACTGGTTTTTGAATTTTGTTTAAAATTTTTTTTTGTGCCTGAGAACAGCAATCCTGAGGTCAGGTCCAGGGAGGCTGAAAGTGTTCTGCCAAAGGCATTTGAATCTTTCTGCAGTTGGTATCAGACTGGTGTTCATTCATTCTTACATGTAGAGATCACCCTGTCTGTCTGATAGACAGCAGAGGAGCAATGTAAATGTGGGATGAGATATATGACACTGGTGGAGTTCCAGGTGAATGAATGAACTTAAGGCCACCTATACATGTGCAGAGAGGCTGCTCTGATGCACTGTAACTACTGAAGCAGTTTTCTTGTCAGGGATAAAGTTCTTTATGGCTTTTAATCCATCCTTATGAGGGATGTTGGTATACAGAGACGTGACATCCATAGTAGCTAATGTAGCATTTGCTGGAAGCTTGTCAATGGAGTCCAATTTCTTTAAGAAATTTGTGGTGTCTTTCAAATAGCTGGTAGTGGCATATGGGAAGAGTTAACATAGCCAGAAACTCCCTCTGTAATGGTGCCAATACCAGTCAGTGGCACGTCCTGAGTTTCCAGGTGTATGGATCTTGGATAATAAGTACAAGTTGCCTGGCCTAGGAGGTGGAAGCAGTAATCCCCTCCTTTGTTTCCAGAGGTAGTTTCATTAAGAGTTTATTTAGATCACTGTAATGGTGTGCCATAGGGTCCTCTGTCAGGAGTTGGTAAAACTCTGTAGTGGAATGTTGTCTCTCGGCATCCTGCATGTACACTGTTTTGTCCATGACATAAGTATTTGAAAAAATTATCAAGGCTCACATTTGCGAGAGCCTGGCAGGAAAAATTATGCTGAGGGGAAACCAGCAGGGGTTCGTAGCAGGTAGATCATGCCTGACTAATCTAGTCTCTTTTTATGACCAGGTTACAAAACGCCTGGACACAGGAGTAGGGGTTGACGTCTTTTACTTAGACTTCAGGAAGGCCTTCGATACGGTATCACACCCCATACTGGTGAACAAGTTAAGAGGCTGTGACTTGGATGACTACACAGTCCAGTGGGTGGCGAATTGGCTAGAGGGTCGCACCCAGAGAGTCGTAGTGGATGGGTCAGTATCGACCTGGAAGGGTGTGGGCAGTGGGGTCCCACAGGGCTTGGTCCTTGGACCGATACTCTTCAATGTCTTCATCAGCGACTTAGACGAGGGAGTGAAGTGTACTCTGTCCAAGTTTGTGGATGACACAAAACTGTGGGGAGAAGTGGACACACCGGGGGGCAGGGAACAACTACAAGCAGATCTGGACAGGTTGGACATATGGGCGGAAAACAACAGAATGCAATTCAACAAGGACAAATGCAAAGTGCTGCACCTAGGGAGGAAAAATGTCCAGCATACCTATTGCCTAGGAAATGACCTGCTTGGAGGCACGGAAGCGGAAAGGGATCTTGGAGTCCTAGTGGACTCCAAGATGAACATGAGTCGGCAGTGTGATGAAGCCATCAGAAAAGCTAATGGCACTTTATCGTGCATCATCAGATGCATGATGAACCAAGGAGGTGATACTTCCCCTCTATTGGGTGCTGGTCAGACCGCAGTTGGAATACTGCATGCAATTTTGGGCGCCGCACTTCAAGAGGGATGTGGATAACCTGGAGAGGGTCCAGAGAAGGGCCACACGTATGGTTAAGGGCTTACAGGCCAAGCCCTGTGAGGAAACACTAGGGCACCTGGACCTCTTCAGCCTCTGCAAGAGAAGGTTGAGAGGCGACCTTGTGGCTGCCTATAAGTTCATCATGGGGGCACAGAAGGGGATTGGTGAGGTTTTACTCACCAAGGTGCCCCTGGGGGTTACAAGAAATAATGGCCATAAGCTAGCAGAGAGCAGATT